AACTAGATAAACTCTCGCAGGTGATGGCCAGATGATATATATTATTGATTTTAATGAGTTGTGTGAATCGATAAATTTTAATTTTTACATGGTGACAAACATATCCGGGTTGTAAAACATGTTGTTGTTATCGGCATTAAAATTCTTAGTCACAAAGACAGAATATTGGCAGACGCCCCATAAAGCTACAATTAGCCAAATTATTTAGTATGCAATAAAGAAAATAAAGATTCTTTCTGTTTAGAGATGCTAACTATTGTTGTTATATGTATTAAACTGTATGCTTTTTACCAAAGTCAAATCCTAACTAATATTATAAATGCGAAAGTAACTCTGTCTGTCTGTCTGTCTGCTACTCTTTCACGCCAAAACTACTGAATGGATTTGAATGAAATTTGGTATACAGATATTCTAGACCCCGAGATAAAACATAGGCTACTTTTTATCGCGAAAAAGGGGTTGTTGTAAGAATAATTATTACGATTTATCTGAAAACCTGAAAACGGATATCTGACAGGTAACATTACTATGGTAACCAACCTGATGATTTGTAATTGTTATGACGTCCTACTTTCATAATATATTTTGGCATCAACATATAAAAATGAAGTTCTGTGGGTTTTCAAGGAATAATATTAGTATTCCTGCATCAGGATCAGGGATTTTAAAGACAAAATACCGAATTCAATTGACTGAATACAATTTATTCATAGACTAGCCTCTGTCTGCGGCTTCTCTCGCGTTCTTTTAATGGGGTGAGGGAAGGATTTACAATAAAAAAATGAAATGATGCACGATTCTATGCTGGTCACAATAACCCGCATACCAATTGTTAGCTTTCCACATTGAAAATTGCAAAATACCCCATACAAACTTTCACCTCTGTTTCACGGAAGTGGAAGGGGTTAAAAAAAGACAAAAAGTAGCCTATGATACTCTCCATCTTTTCAACTATCTCAAATCAAAAACCTTCCTGACTCCGTTCTGTGTGAAATACGGACAAACAAACAAACAAGCACATACAAATTTATATTATAGTATACATTTCTTAAGTCATCTGACATTTGTGTGACAAGTGAGTTTACAAAGTCAATGTGTCATAGATTTTTTTTATACTATGGTATTAATATTAAGGTATGCAAAGAGGTTGACAGCAGTCTAAGGAGATAAAACCACGAATAAAATATTTTCAGTTTACTTGAATTCGTATTTTTTATATGTATATCAAAAAAACTAGCTAAATGCACATAGCTAAAAAATAATATTAGTCCTTTTCATTTTAGACCGTCAAGGCCAAATTCACTATGATAGTTTGCTGTTTGTTTATGGCATAAGCCGGTAAACGAGCAGACGGATCACTGCGCCGCCTATGGACATCTGTAACACCAGAAGTGCTAGAAGTGCGTTACCGGTCTTTTGGGAATTGGTAATTTGAGGATTGTTAGGGATTGGGGGGGCTGGGGGAGGGGCCTCCGGTAACCTCACTTACACAGCGAAACACTCCTTTAGGTAACCGAGGGCTGAGCTCGCTGTCATTGCAGCGGAAAGTCCCCTCTTTAAAAGTGGCTTTAGAGAGGCCATCAATGCAAGGACCGCCGGGAACACGGTGGAGCATACCGTGGCGGTGTACCTTGCATGGGCTGAGCACCGCCGTGTTCTCAGGGATGTAGGAAACGGTAACCTCTCGCGTTCGGCTCTGGTTCAGGCCATGGAGCGAGGGGGATTGGGATGCAGTCGCATCCTTCTGCGAAGCAGTTATGCTTGCCAAGGAGAAAGCGGAGCGTGTGAGGGAATGAACTTCCTCACGCCCCAGCCGTCGCGGGAGACACTCTCACCGGCCACCGTAAGTGCGGGTCTGTAGACGCAGAGCAAGGGTAGCTCGCCACCCGACCAGAACCAGTCCCGTGCATACAGCGCGCGCCTTACAGAGCCATGACACCATCATAGATGGAGCCCAGTAGAGCTGATGCTCGATACGGTGCCGCGGGAGGCCTAACGAGTTGACGGGGCTCCGGCTCGACGAGCAGGAGTAGGAACGGAGTGGATTTTAGTCAGAAAGAATCTGTCACTCCCTCTCACCTAACCCAAGGCGGGAGAAGTGATTGGATGATTTTCCGACCTCAAAAAAAATCTCCTTTAGGTAATGACAACCCGATGTGTGAAAAACTACCAAAAAAACTCCTTATATTACTGGTATTGATTACGCTGTGGAAATTATGGACAATAGAGCCAAGGGATGTATTAAGTCTTATAGAGGACATTAATATCAACATTAAAGTACATGTATCATATGTAACTAACCTAATATCAGAATACCTATTTTTTCATTTAAATGTTTGCGATAGTAACGCACGTCGCACCGGTACATATCAGGTCACATTATAGGAGAGAGGAAATCCCAAAATGACGGAAACTATGCGCTAAAAAACCAGGACCAAGGACGTTGAAATAAAGAGGGGCTCTTACCTTTTAAACCATTGAACCTATTTGGTGAAATTCGGCGCAGCGATAGTTTGAGACCCGGGAAAGGACATCTAAAAGTTTTTAACCCGAAAAACCCACGAAACCGGGAACTGTGCTGTTAAAATCACTATATCTATTTGATTGAAATGCGATACAACATTGATTTGCAAACATAGAATAGTGAAACTTCACGAGACGGGCACTATACGGGTAAAACCTCTATGGGATTGTTTATTTTAGAAACCACGAAAATAAATTCATTTCTCAATAAATATAACCTAGGTACTGAATCGATTGTGATGATATTTGTTCCAGTTGTACAGCCATAGAATATACCTTGACAAAGACTAATTTAAAAAACCCAATTTATACAGAAGTCGTTATTTCACGCGGACGAAGTCGCGGGTAACAGCTAGTATTTTATAACCATTACTCTGCTCAGTGCTCAGCAGCTCTTCTTTATTCTATTCTTTATTTTCTTGTCTGCATACCATATAATTAGGCTGAGTACTGCGTACCACAACCTTTTACTTTTCCTTTTAGTTATGTGTAAGTGTAATATTTATAGTTTGTACTATCTTCTGCCCGCAACTTCGTACGCTCAATCCCGTTTCTCCCATTTCCCGTAGGATTTTCAGGACTTTTTTCTGTCATAAGAACCGTCTCCTGACGATAACAAACACAACAAAAAAAAACAGCCAAATCGGTCTAGCCGTTCTCAAGTACTAAGGAGGATACTAAGGAACTACTAGTATACTAAGGAACTAAGTCGCGGGCAAAAGCTAGTAAATGAATAAAAATAAATAGGTAAGTAACTACACACGCAACATCGAACGCATCACCAGTGATTTATTGACCAACACTACACATCAGACTCTTGATTACTGTAAATATCTTTACCCTTTATTTTCTGACAGAAGTCTATTTATTACTAACAACTATTACTATTAACCACACCTTTCTGTACCCACCACACACTTATAAGTACGAATCAAAGGGCAATCACATTAAATATGTAAAACCCATCACCATTTGTTTATCATTGAATGTGATGCGTTAATTCAAGGGCCGACTATAAAGTTAATAGCTTATGGTAATTTAGTTTCATCAGAATAACAGTATTACAATTAAAATGTAACTATTGATTGATAAATGTGGTAATTGCAACATTTGCTTTTGAGACAGAACTTGCATCGTTACTAATGACGTCATTTGTATCTACAACCACAAACTATTATTAATTTGAAACGAAATTATTAAATGTTTTTGTAATAACTATATTAACTAAAAATCGCGGGCTACTTACGTGAATATACTGAGAAAATTATTAAACTGCCACACTTACGTCTAAATCCATAGGTTTTAGATTGAGATCGATTTGTAGATAATAAAGGCGGCTAGAAAGTCTAAGATATAGAAACTTGAAAATTGTTTTTATGCAAGTAGGTCCTAATCGCGTTAGGCCCAGAAGGAGATGGCGGGATGAACTGGACGCCTATGAAAAGGATTAACCACAGAAATTTATAAGAAGACCTAAGTGGATGGAGGGTTTATTTTTAAGGGGGAAAATCATCGAATGCCTTTTCCTGCCTGGATGAGGCGGGAGGGAGGTGTCAGACTCTTACTGACTAAAAACCACGCCGTTCCTACTACTGGACTGCGAGCCGGAGCCCCGGTAACCCGTTAAGTTCTCCGCGGCTCCGTATCGGCATCAGCCCTATTGGGCCCCATCTGTAGTGGGAGTGGAAGAAGGGTAGGGAAGTCTTTGCCCTGCAGTGGAACGACCATGGCTAAAAATAAATAAATAATAAGTAGGTAAACTTAGCTTTCTTTGACTCATGCAATTTTGTTTAAATAAATACTAATTCATTATACATGGTTCAGGTATATCTATCTACTTAATCAAATACTAACAACCAACACACAGCTGTCAATAACAAGATGAAATAAACAGATTAAACCACTTATGTGTTATAAAATAATTAAAATCCAGATTTTAGCATAAATACTTAATTAGCGAATACAGAATACTAAAGAAAAAAAAATTAATTGTGAGCTAAATTGATCTAGACTGCGCGGTGCTATATAAGGAGGTTGTAACCTTTTGATTTAGACTATTTAGAGCTATCTGATCCATCGTATCATTAGTGTTAATTGAATATCCGTAATAACTGGTTATAGAGAAAATAAAAACAAATAAAAAAACATTGTTCATTCAATACAAATCTAGGTTGTTTGCGTGGGAAGTAGTTAATTGCTAATGTAAATGTTTCGTATACATTTGCATGGCAAGATATAAAAGAAAAAAAAAACACTGCATCAACAGGATGAATGAGAGGCATATTTTATCTGTCTTGACGTAGATAAAGAAATTCAACAGAAATCATATCGACTTATATATGCAATGAAGTCACTTACCTGTTGCTACTTGTAGGTAATGTTTATACTAAGCATTCGAACATAACAAATTATTAAAATCTGTATCCAGTTTTAACACAAAATAAATCGTACTCATGATGAATGAAAAATATACTCACGATGCGAAGAACTGATCAGCCTGTTCAATGGTGCCGTGGAAAGCTATTCTTCCATTAGCCAAGAGTACGACTTGGTGGAACAGCTCGAATACTCCAGAAGCTGGCTGGTGCACGGAACATACGACCAGTTTTCCTCCAATGGCCAGCTTCCTAAGGCGTGAAACTACGGCAGCGGCTCCCCAACTATCTAACCCTGTTGTTGGTTCATCGCAGAAGAGGATTGGAGGGTCGTTTAGGAGCTGTTGATCAAAAAAGATTTGTCAAAATCAAAGTCAAAATCATTTATTTCAATAAGCCAAGAAAAGCACTTTTGAACGTCAACAAAAAATTAAAAGTGAACCTATTTGCTCATTTGGAGAAGAACGAGCAAGAAACTCCATAAGTTGCATAGGTTTGAGTGGTGGTTTTCATAGGTTTGAGTTTGGGTGTCTCTAAATGCACAAAAGTTTTGGCTAGCTACATCATAATGACCAAGTACCTAGATTTTAATATGAATTCCTTATTTCTAACTGTAAATAGATCTTATGAAAGAAAATCAAACTTTGAAAGGCAGATGCCGCGATATTCTACTATGCGCAAGCGACACTTGGGAGCGTTGCATGCGGTCATTAGTTACAGCAACTGCTTTCTATTCTCCATCAGACGGACACCAAGCTTACCACCTCAGTGGTAAAAAAATCTTTATCAAACTCCTTCGTCCCATTTCCTGACTTACCTGAACAGCCAAAGACACTCTCTTCCTCTCTCCTCCTGACAGAGCCTTCAGCTTAGTTTTGGTGCAATTGTTCACTCCAAGCTCGCTGAGCAGTTGCTGCACGCGCCTCGCTCGAACTATCTTGGTTGACCTCTTGTCCATCATCATACGAGCCTGGTTTAAAGAGAGGGTGTGAAACAATCGATTTGTTATCGATTACTTATTTGATAGAGATAAAAATTCAGATAATACATGTAACGAAAAATATTCAATACAAAATAATGATTTTAAACATCTTGGAGTATTTTTTGTAGGGTTATCCTATACTCCTCGGTAAACGAGCAGAAAGATTACCTGGTGGTAAGCAACGGCGCCGCCCGAATAGACACGTGAAACACCAGAGGCGTTACAAGTTTACAAATGCTATACCGGCCTTTTGGGAAGTGAGAATTTGAGGATTGTGGGGGATTCCATGGTATCGCTCCGGCCGAGTCGGCCAATTCGTGCCGAAACATAGCACTCCCACACTTGAAACTTTAAAACAGTTTTCATAACTTTAAAGCAGGATGGAATCCTAAAGAAACATTTTAGCAATAGAAAAGTCCAGGTCAACTTAGGTAGGTCTTTTACAACAATTGGGACCATTACTGTTCCAGTATGTTGACCCCTTCTTACGAAAAGGTTACTTTCATTTCCTCGTCATGTCTTTAGAATCACTATAGACTTCGAAAGAGAATTTCGATCATATTCCGTGCACAACCGTGAGAGACGTCGAAAAGTTCAACAAAGTTCAACTTACGAGATCCAAATTACTTACTCACAAGCTTTAATTAATCAAGCTAAAAATGATGTTGTTTATTTCAATAAATTTTAATGATGCTATCCAATTTATTTTAAAACTTTGATCTTAGACATCAAATCAGAAGACAAGATATCGTGAAATGTCAAATTATTTTGATATAGATTGCGTATCAGATAACAATCAGAGATTATAGATAGGGAGCAAAGTAACAAGATCTGGTGATGAATAATAATTTATTAATTAAAAAAGTTAATCGACCTTAGTAACAAACAAGACGCGCCTACTTTATTTATGGTATACATATGGGTGGAATCATTGGCGGTACTCATTATAGAAGTTTAAATTGGACAAGCAAAAAACACGATTATTATAGATACATAATTAGCAGCCTATAAATGCCCGCTGCTGATCAAAGCCTCTTCTCACACGGAGAAGGTTTGAGCATTAATCGCCACGCTTGCTCAATGCGGGTTATAATTATTAGAAATTATAAGCCCAGGTTACCTCACGATGTTTTCCTTCACCGTTTTTGAGAGGTGTCTAAATAATCTTAGAAACTACATATAACTCAGAAAAATTCTGTCGTTCCAATTGGTACTTGCCGTTAGTAGGTTTCAAACCCGCACAGTCATGCATGAGAAGGGGGCGTTTTGTAAGCTTCGTACCACCGCGACCTAGCTCTATAATTACTAAAAAAATAAATATACTCTTACCATAAATGTCATATGTTCATCTACAGTCAGGTCTTCGATAGCCAAGTCCTCCTGTGGTACAAAGCCAGAGATCCTGGATATCAGGTCAGCACCAGCCAGTCTGCCGTTCAGCATCAGGTAGCCGGTCATAGCGCTCTTGTCCCTTCTGCTTATGGCTGCTAACAATGTGGTTTTGCCAGCACCACTGGACAGAAACGGGTAATTTTAATACATGTACTTTTGTAAGATAAATGATTTAAGTTCAGACTCGCAATGGAATTAAATGCCTTTACATGATAGCAAGTAGTAATACATTATCTAAACACTAACCATCAGATTTTAAACAATACATACTACAATGAATTATTTTATACTAGATTACTAGATACCCGCAGCTGCCCGCGGTCCCGTGGGATAAAAATCTGGAGGCTTACTCTTGAATCCAATTCCAATCGATCGATATTAGTATTGTGAAATTTCGTACTCTTAAGTTGTAACACTAGCGCCCATTGCATCCGTATTGCGTAGATATTTAATGAACTAAATGGTATTGAGTTTGGCTTCATATTCCGTACTCCGAATGCTATTTTAACTGCTACGATTGTGGTTGTATAGTATTAGTTTTATTGGATTGAAATTGCATTGACATTGAGATTGGTTTCAAGAGTAAGCCCTGTTTTCTTGTTGAATGTGTGTAGGACTGAGTGAAAGAGATTGGTGCATTGACGATTCATCGAAAATGCTATTAAATACATCACGTCCATTGTTTAGTGAACTACGATTAATATCCACCTACAAGAGAATGAAGGAAGGATTACTAAACAATATACTATTTTAGATACTACTCGCTTCTGCCAGCGGATTCGCCCGCGTTCCAATGTTTTAAAAAGTAGTCTATGTGCTATTCCAGTCCATAATCCATCCCTATTCCAAATTTCATCTCGATCGCTTCAGCTATTTTCACGCGATTGAGTAACAAACATTCACACAAACTTTCACATTTATAATGAATGTTAATCAGTGTTTCCATAACATCACGCCTTTAGGCAGCAGTAACGTAGGCAGAGGTGCACATTATACCACTATACAATGTAACATCCACTTTTCACTATATATGTAATGAGTCCCATGTAATAGGAGGTGAGCCTATTGCCATATACCGGGCATAATCCCAGACTCCGTGTTACTACTGAGAATTTTAAAAAATCCCAGTAATACTTTGCCCGACCCGGGCATCGAACCCGGGACCCCCTGTCCAGCAGCACTTGCGACCACTCGGCTAGCGAGGCAGTCAATGTTTCCAATGCAGAAATATTAGATATCTATCGAAATGTGGAATGGGCAATAGAAATAGTTAACTTTAATGGTGATATTTTAGTAAATATACTTAATAATGTAAATATAAATGAACTCTTACCTAGAACCCATTAAGGCAACCAAGTTGCCTGAAGACACGATTCCATTGACTGAAAAGAAAATTTTCTATTATAAAGTTGACATTCATATTCAGCTGAGTTAGCTGAAAGTGAGAGAAATTCTTAAAAACTAATAAATCATACAAACATACACAGCTGGTAATTTAAAATTATTTACTGTATGTATATACGCATTAACGGGTAAAACGTGGTAAATAGAATTCGAGGGGTGAATAGACATTTTTCATAGTATCTATTCACTCCATTCCCGTAAACTATTCACCGCTCGAATTATATTATATTAAAATTGACGTTTATTTTTCTAAAGATGTGACAATCTCTAACTTTTGTCTTAAACAGTAAATAAAACGCGGTACACAACCGAATACATAATTTCATACAACATAAGTAACTATATGTATATATTTACATAAATTACAATAAACACCATAATCTACAAACAAATCGAAGCTTTAAGCCGACGACATCAGAACTGTGTTTAAAATAACAACAAGTTAATTGGGTTGCTTATGAAATAATTTATTTCAATACCTGTTTATTAATACAGCCACCTATTTAATATGGACAAAAAACCTAATAATTGGGTCATAAAAATTCGCTTTTGTGTAAAAGTTATTCAATTTTGTTTGGGCTTGAGTTTTGAATAACATTTTTATTTATTAACTAGCTAACCCGGCAAACTCCGCCTAAATTGTTTTTCTCACCTTTTAACCTTCCCTGAACTCCCACGACACGAACTTTCAAGACCAAAATCAGCCAAATCGGTACAGCCGTTATCGAATTTCAGCAAGACTAATAAACGGAAATCCATTTTTATTTATATAGACTAGCTACTTCCGCGCGGTTTCACTCGCTCTGCTCGGCGCCTATTAATTGTAATATGATATTTTATAGCCTATAGCCATCCTCGATAAATGGGCTATCCGACACGAAAAGATTTTTTCAAATCGGACCAGTAGTTTTGGAGATTAGCGCGTTCAAACAAACAAACAAAAAGACTAACTCGTCAGCTTTATATATTATAAAGCTGACGAGTAGTGTAGATTATTGTTAAACATAGAACATTAATAAGAGTTTGACTATTCGAGTGAAGAGGACTAGTTACAAGTCACACCCGGGACCTAAAACTGTCCGAACACTTACGAGCAAGCACGTAAATGATTGAGCCGTATATTCTAGTCAATTTAAAGTATATTAAATAATAAAACTAACATATTAAATACGAGTCCAAGTGATATTTTTGCAATAATAATGATTGTGCAATATATCGGTTAATAGAGAAATGAATTATTTATCAACTCATTTTAATTGTAATATTTTATTATTACATTTTGATTTTTTATATAATAATAAAAAGGTTGTTAGTATTGGAATCCAGTTTTTTTACATGTGTGTTCTAGATCAGCATTAATAAGTTATTATTAACAAAATAATATGTATTTGAGTGCATTTTTATGAGGTAGTTCTGTATTATTAGTCATTAGTCTAACTATCTATATAATCTTATATATAAAAATGAATTGCTGTTCGTTAGTCTCGCTAAAACTCGAGATCGGCTGAACTGATTTGGCTGATTTTGGTCTTGAAATGTACGTGGAAGTTCAGGTAAGGTTCAAAAGCTGAGAAAAAAATTGTAGGCGGTATGAAGTTTGCCGGGTCGGCTAGACAATATATAAAAATCTCCATTTTAAATACTATATTTCTTTCTATTAACATTTTTTTACTCAAACAGTTAAATATGAAATCTAATACTGGCATAATAATACTATTCATCTTTCTGTTACTTAAAATAGTACAAAAAGAAATAATCAATTCAATATTTTTCCCAAAAATAAACACTACGCCAAGACTACCGGTTGACGAATGTTTTTTTTTTCTACCGCGATGGAAATCCGAATGATGAATTATACATTTTTATCGTCAAATATAACATCCAGGTGCACTCAAATAAGTCATTTATTATGACTAGATAATTATTAACATTAGTATGTATAATGAAGCACCTGTTCCAGATCAAATCGACCTTAATTTATGATCCGTAAATTGATTGACTCGCTGTCAAATAAAAGGAGGATCATAAAATATAAAAATCTCCATATATATGTATATAATGAAGATGTAAAGTCTACTAATATAGGAAAATACTTGATTATCAGGTAATAAGTTTATCATTCAGCTATAGCTTCTCTTATTGGTGAAGTTCTCGTTTAAACCCATCAATTATGTTACAGTTTTATTAGCAAAAGAATCGAAATATAAGTAATTAACCTGACTATATAAAGGTGTGCGCATTTTTATACCAGATATAACATAACATATCATCACGCATTTTATCCTCGAGGGGTAGGCAGAGGTGCACAATATGCCATTGTACAATGTAATGCCCATTTTTCACTATATATGTTATGAGACCCATGTAATAGGGGGTCAGGGGTGAGCAATGAAACTCCATGCTAATACTGAGATTTTTTTAAACCCAGTTATATTTTGCCCGACCCGGGAATCGAACCCGAGACCCATTGCCCGGCATTTGCACTTGCGACCAGCCAACGAGGCAGGCTGATTATAACTGATTCAAATTTAAATAACCAACGTTATGGTTATATTTTATAACCTAATACCTAACACATTTTCGCTACAGTAATGCTCTACTAAACTATATTATAATGCCATACTAACCTCCATGTAAAACTCTGATCTCCTCGTAAACCGGGGATCTCCATATACTGGTCTGTGTCTTCTTCTTCCTATAAACCGAAAGGTCTTTCCACGCCAAGGTCAGGTTACTTGGACTATCACCGAAACCCATCTCGTCGTCCTCCCAGTTCACTACAGCGCCGGTCAAGACATTGCGCGTGGGCAACTTCAGATCTATATCCTTCATTTTGAAATTACGTCATTGGCACTAAAACAAAAACATAAAATTAGTTATAAAGTATCAAGTTACATAAGTGTAAGTAATTGAATGAGATCAGATGTCAACGCTGTCATTTTGAATTTTATGTGCAATGCACACGACATAATGATGTGCTAAACGAAATTATGGCAGCCAAATATGGTAGGACAAGTGCAGTTTTTTGCTTATTGTTTTAAATATAAATTAATATGTGAGCATGACTAATTTAATATTTTAATACTAGCTGTGCCCGTAACTTGGACCGCGTTGTATAGTGATTCACAGCTCCTCCCCCTTAGGTGATAGCGTGATAATATGTAGCCTATATGTTGTACCAACCTGTTAGTAATATTCATGCAAAATTTGAAGTAAATGCAAACAGTACTTTTTGAGTTTAGCCCGGACATACATACAGACAAAGAGACAAAAATTATAAAAACCATATTATGTTTGGCTTCGATATCGAGGGCAGATCACGCCTCAAGCATTCTTTTAAAAAAATATTCAATGTACAGTTTTCTCTTTCCTACGATTTTATTATATGTACAGAATAGATGTCAATAAAAAGCCACTGAGCTAAGAAATATTTCTTAGCTAAATGTCGTAGACATTTTGTGAGTGCTACGCAGCTGCTACGCAGCGTTTACGTGTCTACTACGCGGTGCCTACGCAACTCCTACGGAACTGTTACGCGTTTTGTTGCAGTCGAGATTGTATTTATATGTTTTAATGAGAAAATAATGTTTATTAAACCTAAGTATGTCGAAAATACTTAAAATTATTTTTACAAGGTATTCAATCTCTACAAATCTTCCTACCTCAGTGTTATTTTACTGACTTTTATTAATACATAGATTTATGTTATGTTAGGCAAAAGATTTTGTAACGGACCAATCTAATATATTCAACAAATTTTAAATTGTTTTTAAAATGATGTAAGTACTTAACCAGTAACATAGTTCCATATGTCCAAATACTCAAATTTAAGCCGTGCTCAAGCATAGTTCTGTCACTCTACAAATTCTATTTGAAGTGACAGAGATGGCACCTAGCTTCACCTAGCTTCACCGACGGACTGACTAACAGACTTTATTTTGTACTTGTTGACGTTTTAAAAGTACCAAATTATGGTTTAATTGAAAATAATGCTTTTACTTTGACTTTGGCATGATATTTAAATACAACTTAACCCTTTGAGTACCGTCATTATAGACACAATTAAAGAACAATAGGTTGCGGTTACCGGTGTCCTCGCGGTGTTTGACAGTTTAAAATTGAGTAACGTTTCAGTATTCAGCCGATAGTTCCATTACCTCAATAAATTTCTACACAATTCATTAACATAGCTCGAATCACATTATAATGATGTACCCATCATTCATAAACACAAATTAACAAGGGTTCTATTATAAAATATTTAACAAGAACAGTAATCCGTCTCATTCCGATTCACTATAAGAAATAATTATGGTAAAGTCAAAGTAGGTTATCTTACCATCAAAAATAAATAAACCGCTTTAACTTCAAGTCGGAAGGAACATTAAATTGAATATTTTAGAGATTAGGTAAGAGTTATTTAAGTAAAAAAGACAACACGGTTAGTGCAGTGGCTGAGCAAAGGACTGCCACGCAACGTGTCGCGGGTTCGATTCCCGCAAGGAGCAACACTTTGTGTGATCCACAAATAGTTGTTCCGGGTCTGGGTGTCATGTGTAAACTTGTATGTTTGTTAACGCATCCACGACACAGGAGAATATCCTAGAGTGGGGCAACGTTTTATTTAAAAAAAAAGAAAGACATTTTAAAATACTCGTGTAAACAGAACGCTCCCGAAAAACACCATCAGGTGATGGACAAAAAGAAGTTTTATTTTCGTAAACATAAGGTATTAAATGTTTCTTTTATGTAATAATAGTTGTAATCTACTGCTCAATGCTAATATTGCTTGAATAACACAAAAACAAAAACTATTAAAATTGTAAAAACAATTCAGCCAAATTCAAATTTTTGGCAGCGTTTCGGGAACATATGAGTATTTTCTATTCATATAATGAAATCGTATAATATAAAAGTCAAAACTGTACATTGAATATTAAAAGAATACTTGGGGCATGTTCTACAATCGATACCGAAGCCAAAAATATGGTTTTAGACGTTCTGTATCTATCCGTCCGGGATGATCTCAAAAAGTACTGCATTGATTTACTTCAAATATTTGTATGATTATTACTAACATATAGGCTACATATTATCACGCTATCACCTACGATGTAATCGCAGTAAATCACTATTCCACGCGAATGAAGGCACAGCTAGTACCTATATGAGGAAACTCATATATAACTAGAGAATGGTACTGTTATAGACTATGGTACAATTGGAAACTATGTACCTAAATAGAGAATGAATGGTATTGTAAACCCGATTGAAAAAGAGTAACCTATGGTGGTTCTTGCTCGTTCTTCTCGATAGGAATCTACACCTTGGAATGGAATGAGCAACTAGCTTCACTTCTGAATTCTTGTTGTTGACGTTCAAAAGTGCCTTCCTGGTCTTATTGAAATAAATGATTTTGACTTTGACTTTGAGGAATACCATAGTCTAATAATGGACTGTCATGAATTGTTGGTGTTGATATATTAGTACATTTATCATGGGTAGCCCTAGTCTGATAGAACAAAAATGTTAGTATTTTTGCTTATTTGTTAGGGAAAGCTATGTAATATTATACTCTCGCGTAATGTAAAACCGACGCAACGGTTATAAGCAAAGCATGGGAATATAATCATGGAATGCAGCTGTAATCTATGTACTTTTTAATAAATAAATCATCTTCTTTAGGACTTTGTTTCTTTGCGACGACGAAAAGACGAGTCTGTTGCCAAAACTGTTATTAAATTAAATTCTTGTACTTAAATCTCAATAAAACATCAGAATAAACACGGGATTAAATATTATGACCACTAGAAAATACTTACATACCCCAAGTTCTTTACCAAAAATATATACTTAACACCAAAAATGTAGTGAATGATCACCTTTGATGGCAGTCTGACATGGTAAATAAATAAAAACGCGGTGTTCACATCTACTTTCTAAAATAGTTAGGTACTAACTAAATTATACATATGTAGAAAACATATGTCGTAGGATAATTTGATACTTCGAATCTTCGCGGAAATCCTAGGGGTTTTGCGAAAACGCGGATAATTAGACATAGGCGAAAAATTATCAAATCTTACTGGACAAAGTCAGGATTTTTGTGAAAATACTCGTTACTATAGTAAGATTTGATGTGCTCAACACTGATTGGCTACAATTTTGCTGGCTGACTTTTAATTGGTTCCTAGTTTGCCGATGATTAACTTCAAGTATTGTATCATAGAGTTATGAAGGTTTAGAATAGGTGAGAAAGGAAAATCACTAAATCGATTTTTATGAACTTTTTATTGAAAATTTTAGTATGTATGTTGTTTTCTACAGACAATAGGAGATCTCAGTCGTAGTAAAAAAAAATGATCCAATTTTAGGGTGTAATCCATAAATGGGATGAAACTGGTCGTTTAAGACGACGAAAAAACATTTAAGACGTCAACCAATCAGAGACGATCTCTTATTGAACGCGCTGACCGACCAATCAGCGTTCTTATTTCATAACAGCCAGCGTTTCGTTTCGCAATCTTACTATAGTAACGAGTATTTTTGCAAAAATCCTGACTTTGTCCAGTAAGATTTGATAATTTTTCGCCTATGTCTAATTATCCGCGTTTTCGCAAAACCCCTAGGATTTCCGCGAAGATTCGAAGTATCAAATTATCCTACGACACATACAATAAGTGTACCCGGCACATACAATAAGTGAGTGTTACTCTAACTGACTAAGAACCACCCCGTGTCTACTCCTGCTTAGATTCGGGGCCCCAGTTATCCGCTAGGTTGTTCGTAACTCCGGACATTTTTTTAAGGGGAGAAAATCATCGAATGACTGCTCCCGCCTGGGTGAGGCGGGAGGGAGTGTCAGACTGTTACTGACTAAAAACCACCCCGTTCCTTCTCCTGCACGTCGAGCCCGAACTCCGGTAAAACTCCGGACAATAAGTGCATAAAATATCTAAATTCGGTCACTCACTCTACCCTGGCCATATTCTTAAAAGTAACTACTCGTAAAATAATCATATCCTGTCGGATCCGACGATATATGATAGATCAATTGGTACAAATTGTCGTTTCATCACTTTAAGTACTTACAGTATTCTTGGCTTGGTATTAACAAATTTGAACTTTATCGGTAGACTTCCATTTCCTTTATTTAATAGGATTTCTTGTGATTCTACTCAATTTATATATGTTAGTGAAGTTTTTTGTAATAGAAGTTAAATAGTGACTGCTAATGATTTAAATTGATCTAAAATCATATGGTTTTGCGATGATTTGACTTCAGTTCAAAGTAAGAAGACCATTCTTGGAATACGTGGGTATTTATTACGGAATACCTATTTGGCGTTTTAGTGTGGCAAAGCCATGCTTCGACACGAATGGGGCGGCACGACCGGAGCGATTTCACGGCCTCACAGAAAGCCGACGTGAGAGTTAAGTTACTAGAGGCCCAATTATCCTCCTCCTCAATATCCCCAATCCCTGAATTCCTAACAATCCTCATTCGTAATCCCAAAAGACCGGTAAAGCACGTGTAACGCCTCTGGTGTTCCGCGTGTCCATGGGCGACGCCGATTACTCACCATCAGATGATCCGTCTGCTCGTTTACCGGCTCATATTTTGTAAAGTTTATGGGACGAAAAAGGTTACGAAATCTTAAATGAAGTTTATTTTTTTATCAAAAAAAGTCAATGGACTAAGACAATATATTAGACGCTCGTCCAACACAAGGCCAAAGCTATAATGTAGTAAATAATAATATTGTCTAAAACCTGTTAATTTACATGAAAATTATTTCCAAGCCATTCCAGGTCTGTTTGACGTCATTGGT